CCACGATGGCACAGTTTGTTCGTGTGAGCCACTAGACAGATGTCCTCATGAGGCATCAAATTGGATGGTGCCTGCTATCACATCTAATGGGAAAGAAGAAAAGAGTAGTCATGGGATTGTCTCTGTTTTCTTTTTCAGGATTAAACATGGGCCACTTAGCTGTTTGTTACCTGGCACTTAATGTTGCTTTATTAGAAGCCTAGACAGTCCTTCACCGGAGTGTCAGAATAATTTCCGCAAAAATAATGTTGTAGGGACTCATCAAGCTGAAGTGCTTGTTTCGTGACGACAGATGGATTCTTGCTCCAGTTTCTTGCAAGCCTTTTGCTGGACAAGCTAGACTCAGCTCCTGTGATGTCCTCTGGCACTCATGTGGGGAGACAGAGGCTTCCAGCACCTGTGCCTCCAATAATTGTCTTAATCTTGCAGTGCACCTTTTTCATTGACGGCCTTCATAAATTATATTTGCCCAAACTCTAATTGCCCATCGAGCAGTCAAAGCAAACCTACCTGCCGTACGATGAGGATGTTCTTTGTGCGGTGATTAAGTTACAAACGTTCCGTGTGCAGAGTAATTTAGTTCTGCTTTATAATGATCTCTTTGGGGAGGATCTCTTGTGGGGAGCCTGTCACAGCAGAAAGGACCCATCACCCCCACCATGACTCAGAAGTGCCCCTGCCTCCCTGTGGCCGCTTCCCCAAGCACACTCCTCGTTAAAACAGATGCAGTGGGCCCATTTCCTCCAGTATGCCTTTGCAGGCGCTTCAGAACCTTACCTGTAGCTCACCTGAGGTGTGTTGAGTGCACCTGGTATGTGTTGCTTGGCTCTTGAGCAGGGGGAGTGGGAGATCTTTGAAGGCATATGAGGGAAGAGCTTCGGTCAAAATATCTGGAGGGAGCCCCAGGCAAGGCAGTCTGGATGGATCCTTCAGAAATTCCAGTTAGCAGCTTTGCGGAATGTGTGGCCACAAAATGCATCGTGCAGAGCTAGAATGTTAACTGCTGTAAGAATTCAGGGAAAATAGAAGCGTGTTGTCAGTGAAGGGCTTGGCACAGCTTCCCAAGGTGTGTTTCCGTTGGACATTGAGTGGAGTGGGACTGGGGGGTTCTGTCTCTCTCGCTTAAAGAAAAAATGCAGGCTCTGTCCAGATAGGAAGCTTGTTGTCTTTTTCAGCATTTTGTCTCCAGGACCTTGCACATAGTAGGCACTTAAATTTAAGCTGCAGGAGCAGACTGCTGGGCTCCTCGAAGCCTTTAAATTTCGAGAAGACCCTTGACCTGAGGAGCGGGCAGCGGCTGGTGACCTTTCCCAAACACCCTGGGCTGCAGGCTTCAGATCCTGGCTCACGTTCCACTCCACTTGGGCACCTTGAAATACCTCCTGGGAAGCTCTTGCTTAAGATCAGTGAAAGTCAAGTCTTCAAATTGAATATTCAAATGATCGCGATGTACATGAGCCAGAATGTGAAGCAGTCGGGGGCAGACACCCATGAGATTTGGGGCAAGTTGCTTGCCCCCCAGAAACCTCGGTCTAGTGATTGAAAAAACACCAAAAATTATTGAACTGGTTGTTGGGCCAATAAATTTAGTCCCCCCATTGGAAAGTTTACATGAAATAATGTGTAGAGGGTGTCCCTAGACAGAGACGTCACCATTAGCATTGCCGTCATGATCATCGCAGAGCTAAGCCATGCCATCACTCCCATTTGGATGTGTGATTGTAAGACCCTGAGGCTCCGTTGCGGTCAGCCTTTCCCCTCTCCCCTCCTCTTGAGCCAACCTTGCTGCACTTCTGACAGTCCAGGAGCCGCGGCGCCCTGAGACAGTCCTGAGTGTGGTGAGGTGACTCCTGGTGGCCCAGGGGCTTTCTGCCATGTAATGTGTTCACTGATGTCACCTGCCCTTAGAATATCAAATAAATTTAATTGCACACAATTCGGTTAAAGTTAATTGTCCTGAGGTTGTTACAGGAGAGATGTGCCCCCAAAGGACCCCACTTTTCCTCCCAGAAACTGATCTGTCCTACACAAACAAGCACAACAGGATTCACAGGTCACATATTAAAATTTAAAAATCACACTGGTATTGCCAGGAAAGGTAGATCAAATACCACCTTTCATCCTGACCGGGCCGACCACCAGAACAGGGGCTAGCTTTAGCACATGAAAACAGCATGCAGCACCCAGCTAAATCTGCATCGCAGGTAGACGGAGATCCCTTTTTTAGGGTAAGTATACTCCAAAGACTGTATGGGATATACTTTTACATAAGGGGCAAAAAAACAAAACAAAACAAAGAAAACCCAGCATTTATTTGAAAATCAAATTAACTAAGATCCAAGAAAGAGTGAGTGTTGCCTCTTTCGTGACTAGCCAACCACAATTAACCAGAGGCCCAGCCACCTGCCCCGGAGAAAGACGACTGTGGGAACGAGTTCTCATGTGACGCTGTCTTTGTAGAGGGGATCTTGTTCCCCCAAACAGAATAGAAACCTTTGCTTCTATTTGAGATGATTTATAATGGTTCCCGCCTGATCGCCAAGTGTTTCCAAATTAAAAGCCATTAATTAAGGCCTTATATAGATACAAAAGATAGGCGAGGAGTGCTTTGTAATTCCAGCTCCGTACTCCAGGTGAGAGCTTTTCAAATGACGTGGACCACTGAAGCCACCTGGTTGGCAGCTTGCAGCCCTGGCGTGGCTCAGCACACCACGCTACCAGCCTTGTTACTGATTTTTCTCATTTCTCCAGGGCAAATACTAATTAATGGATACAATTCACAGCTGATTAGCTGTAGTTTCTTCAGTAATTACATTCGCATACTAACTGTTCAGAAGAGGATTTCTAACCCAGTTCTTATTTCACTCGAAGCTTAATTTGTTTTTTGAATTGTTTAGGCCTTTAGTTTAATAGCCATTTTATTTTTCTTTGTTGTTTTAGGTGCTATTAGATAATAAGTGAGTTTAATCTTAAAAAAATACTCTCTGATAATGAGCTGTTTGCCTTAAATGGATTTCTAATTCCCCAACAAAAGCTACATTTAAATAACGTTGAAGTCGTGATCCAACTGCCTGGCGGTTTGGGCGGCTGGGATTGGCGGGTGAGGTGCCACTGTGAGCCTGGGTCCTCATAAATACCCCAAACAACACTCAGAGTTGAGATCTGAGGTGCCTCTTCTGGAGTCATAAACTGGTCAAAAATTTGCAGAATGGAAAAACCTAGTTTTTTGATGTATATGTTTGACATCATAGAAAAATAGGGGGAATGCGTGTGTGTACGCACACATTTGAAATGATTCCAAGTAAGTGAGGTGATTTTTAGGCCACTTTCTAGAAGCCTGATGGACTTCCCAGAGGCTGTGTGTATTGAGTGTGTACTGAATGAGCTCGGAGATAAGTACTTTCATGTACCCATTGCCACCTGCTTTTGATGCCATGAGGGCCTGTTGAAAGCCAGATAGAGGTCTTAAGTGCTGGCAAATACAGCTTTCAGAAATCCTTAGACACTTACCCAAATGAATGAGTGCCCACCAGAGCCTTCTGAGGACTCGTGGAACTGCATATCTAGGTGTCAGTCAAAGGGTGGGACTTTGCTTCTGAAGCCCAGAACAGCTCTCTGGAACATCAGGGTCTTGTGATTAAATCTTGCTTGGTCCTTGCCTCCCCAACAAGGTGAAGGGTAGCGTGTCAATCTCATTTCCAGGCATGAATTTTACAGGTTTAGGGTCGGGGGCTGAAAGCCCCCCAGAAATTTGTTTGTGGGTCTGTTGAAAGGCAGGTTACGTGGGTCTTCCATGCATATCTCTATATTCTGCTTATTTTCTGTGATCATCTGAGGATCTGTATCTATTATCTACCTACCTATCTACCTACCTACCTGTCTATCATCTGTCGTACTTTTTTCTCTCCTTGGAAAGATTGTACCTTTTACTTTCAATAATTACTAGCTCTATTTACATTAGAAAATAGGTGTATATATTTCACCCTGTGGAGACCAAACCTGTGTTATTTGATGCATTAAAGGACGGGCATAATACACTTTATAAACAGACAGCTACTCTTTTACCATTTGAAAACCATGAAAATAATATAGCTCCAGATAATTATGTCCACAGAGCCTTTCCACAGCACCAGACTGATAACAGAATGTTTAAAGCAACAGAACGTACCTACTTATACCATCTGAACCTGAAAATACATTTCTGCCAAAATCCAAGTTTTACATTTTGATAACAGGTCTCTAGAAGTAAAGAGCTTATGTCTGAAATGCTGATACAGTCTTATTTGTGATGGGATGAATGGGCCATTGTGTTAGGGAATTAGCTAAAAATTGCTGTGTTCATAGGATCCTGCTTATTTTTTAAACCTCTTTGCACTTAATGTTACATTGAGAGATTAAATATCACTGTTTTCAACAGCTCTGATGGACATCGATAGAGTTTTAAGCTCTGTTTGGAGATTTCAAAAATGTTCTTTAGTCTTACTATTTATTTATATTCATGCCCCACCCCATTCACTAGAAGATAGAATTTGAGTCCTGGGAATTGAATTCTATTCCCTTTGATTCACATTTTAACCTCCCCATACTTGTGACATCTGTTCTTGGAAATCCCAACTGTGAAACCTCGACATGCTTTAAAAACATGTCAAGGTGATTTTCTTGGAAACTCTTTTCCTTTTAACTTCTGACAAATGCCAGTTCAATAAACAACCCTCACCAGTGACCAGTTGGCCAAGTGTTTGTAATCGTCTCCCTTCACTATTAGTCTTGATGAAAAACAACACTATTTTCTAGAATGATGGAGTTAGCTTAACTCTGTGCTCTATTTTCCGAGGGACTGGCCGCCGCGTGGAGCAGAGTGCTCTCGACTCTCACAGTTCTCATGTGGTCTGAGGAGAACAACCTTTTTATCTCCCAACACCAGCGCTCTTTCCAAATCCCATCTGAGGACTCAGCCAGCCCCCAGAATTCTTTACTTTGCTGCCTATTAACACAAAACATTCTGTTTTCTTTCAGTTTGGAAATAACAGTAACTACATGAATATGGCAGAGGCAAACAACGCCTTCTTTGCAGCCAGTGAGGTGGGTGTCTGTCTTCATGTGTCTGTCCATGTTTTGTGTGCTGTTTAGATCACTTAAAAGGCTTGAAGGGAAAAACAAAGTATTGAATTTCTCTCTCTTATGTGGTGCAAGGTAACGACTTTGGAGAAATTAGAAAGACCTGTTAGAAAAAAGCTGACAAATCATTATCACTTGTCCATAGGCGTTCCTTATTCTGGTCATTCCCTCAGCCCTGCAAACATCTCCTATGCAAACAAAGAGACACAGAATTTAAAATCTACCTGGGTAGATTCAGGTAGCCTGTCTTGTTCTAGTGCTGTGCCTGCCTAGGCCGTATTGATGTCTATGTAGATATGGGATTCTTTTGGAAAGTAGGCTGGAGGTGACTTTTAGGAGACAATAGTTTGACTTCAAATGTCTCTGGGGATAGATGGTTCTCTTGAGTTGCCACGGTGTGGGGAATGGCATGGCAGGACTGCCGTAGAATGTTTGCCCTTTGGTGGGTGTGGTGGGAAGTGAGTGTTTTGTTTTGCTGGTTTGCCCTCAGCCCAGAGCACAGTGTGGCGCATGGTAGGTGAGGTGCACACTGCATCTATATGGAGTGTTCATGGGGCGATAGGTGTGCTCCCAGCTTTGGACACCACGGGGAGGCTGGGGGTGGAATCTCAGAGGCAAGGCCCCCAGGTGGACTCTGGCTCGCCCGCGGTGTCCACATGCAAATGGTTTCATTGTGACTGCCTCAGGATGCCTGTCTGGCCCCATGGCCTGCCCTTCAGAAGAAAACCTGATCTTGATGAGATAAAGAAAATGGTTTCCTAAAATTGGCAAATTGGGTTAGATAGAAGATCTTCAAGCAAGAACACACAGAAGTGAAACTGGTCCAAATGGAACATTTCCTCTTGTGGTTCCCGTCATCAAAAGTCTTCATTTTCCAAATACATTCAAATGTGGGAAACCGAACTAGTTTGACCCCAGAGAATGAAAATCATAATGGCTTCGGAAATGATCTTGGTACAGGGAAGCAAGTGGCATGAAAGAAATTAACTCTGAGAAATTATCAGAAAAAAATGAGGTAAGGAGAATTAGGGGTGTTCGGCAATTAATCATTTTTACAATGACCATCATCACAGGAACCAAGAAGACAGTGGAGATAAGGGAATATTGTTTGGCACGGGCTGCTGTGTTGTTTGTGATAATGAACACAAACCCCATCTGTAAGGACAACACGATGTTTCATTCTGTAGGATTTTTTTCCCTACATTTGAATCAAACATTGATGAAAGCCCTCTGCCAGCAGCTGTTCAGAGACAATTTAATTCCAGCTGTGATAATTCACCGTGTCAGACATTGGCTGTTATATGTTGATACAACAGTTCTCCAGATTTGCATTTTTATCAAAAGGAACAAATGTTTCGAACATTGCACTACAGATGGTATTTAACCATGTGCATACTACTTTAACATGTTCAAGGTAAACACTGAAAAGTCAGTCCCTGTAAAAACGTAATCATGGAAACTGCAAGTGATAAATCTGATACTGGTCAGCCAACAGTCGCCATCGCCAGTGTTATTTTTGTCATCGATGCCAGCCGTGGTGGTTTTTACCGACTCAGCCAGCCCGTGTTTTAGGTTATTCTTTTCCCTCAGGAACACTTAACTTATATTTAACGTGTTACCTCTCATAAAAAGTGGTTTGCAATGTTAGCGTTTTCTTGGTTACATATTAGGATATAATTTTATTTTATTGTTTTATTAGGTGGTAATACAGTCATGTACTGGATTCTGACTCCAAAGTCTGTCTTTTGTAAAAATTAGACGGTGGGGATATCTTAGATATGACAGCACTGCTCCTTATCAAAAGTAAAGGTGAAAACTTCCTTAGTTTTGATTGCCTGTGCTTCACGTGAAAGAGGTGGTTTTATGCAGGGAATTTACAGCTTTTCCTGTACAAAAAAATAAAGCCCACATAAATGTTCAGGCACTATGTTATCACATGTGCCTGTTTTCCCAGTCACTGCATTAAAAGTAAATTTATTTGTGTGTTTTTTAAAACATTTTAATGAGTGCAAACTAATTCAGAGAGACTTGGTTTGAATGCTGTAAAGTCGAAATTGCGCCTGAAACCAATTCCCTTCCCATAGATATGGCCCCGTGGATAACACTTCAGGGACCAGGCTACTGGAGTTTGAAATTCACACATTTGCTTTATGTTTTCTGTCTGTGTCATGATTACCCTGACCATTTTTAAAGTACTTTAAATATTTATTGAAATAATATTTCAAGTGTTAATTACAGTGGTAATGAAAACAGCCAAATGCCACATATCAAGAATGAGTGTTTATCCGTATTGTTAATGTGATATGTTAGATTTCATTAAGCAGTAATGGGGTAGCAAATGAGTCACAAATTACAGTTGCATCTGTTACTAGACCACATTAGTGCCAAAATAACAGCAAATGCAGCCATAGGGTGACGTTCATTAGCCAACCACGTTTGTGGCCAATTCATCCCTTTGTGTTTGAGAAGTGGGGGTGCTGTGGGAAGAAGTTGACATATTTGGGGTCCTTATTGGAATAAATGCCCAAGAACCCCATATTTCCTTCTAGCCTTCAAATGTGCTTCTGTGCCATGCGGGTTACGTACGCTGAATGTAGCGAGCTGGGAGACCTGCAGGGGTGCAGATGTCGCCAGGCTTCCCCCAGCCCGTGGCCTCTTCGCTGCTGGCGAGCTGCACGAAATAGTTGACAGCTTCTGTGTGCAAGGAAAGGGATTTTGTTTTTTAAAGTGGTTATTAAGTGATACCATCATGGATAATTTGAAGAATGATGCTTCTCGGCTCTTAATGAGTTCTCTTCACCAATAAGAGCTGATGCAAATTATGTTGCCCCAATGCAGTCTTCAAAACATACTACCCATAATAATGAACTACGACACTGATCCAAATACTGCGGTGACTCAAAAAAAAAAAAAAAATTCCTTGGCATACTTGCCTCCCACCCACCTGACCTCGCCCCTACCCCAAGTTCTATTTTAAGGAAGACGGTAAGTGTGGGCAAGTAGCAGGCCTGATTTACATTGGAGACTCTGTTTTAAAACACCGACTTTAGAGCCACCAGTGACGAAAACGGCATTATTTGCTTAGGTCTTGAGAAAATGCATAAGACTTTGTTTTATCTCTGCCAGTGTCTCTCGGTGACCTGTTGACTGTCTTTAAAAGTCAAGGACGTGCCCTCATGAAGACACACCGACACCTTCCTATGAAAGAAAAAACTCAAATAGCGCTGAAAACACTGGGGCTTTTGTACATACACCCTGATTACCCTTACAACACGGTGCGAGGCAGTAGCAATTTTTGTAGACATCTTCATTGTCCTTGCAAAAATGCCAATAAGGACCTTTTAAAAGCAAACCACAGATTCCCCATGACTTGCTTTATCTGTAGTGGCAGAACGTGAACGTGTGCAGTGTTCACGTCTGGGCTAATGTGTGTGCGCATCCCGGAATCGTCAGCACTTTATGAAGCATGTGGATAATGTAAGCAGTTTGAGTTGTTTCACTAACATATCAATAAAGTGGCAATTTGTTATATAGCCAAATCTTATGTCGTTGATGCTCCAACTAACAACAAAGACAGATGTTGCTAATTAAGCACGCATTAAAAAACTGTTAATACTGATACTCCATTAAAACCATATGATAATGAGACTTAAATCTTTAATCAGAATGATCAGCAAAACTTTATATATGGAAATCTGTGTTGAAGATGTTTTCATTTATCTGCAAAATAAATGTTTGGCCTGGCTACCTCACGTGTTCACGCCAAATCCTTGTTTTTGCCTCCGACGAGAATAAGACCTCGGGCTGGAATAAGGAGATCTCTGCATTTGTGTTTCCTTTTAGCAGACTTTCCACACGCCAAGCCTGGGCGATGAGGAGTTTGAGATCCCACCTATCACGCCTCCTCCGGAGTCGGACGCCGCCCTGGGCATGCCCGACGTCCTTCTGCCCTTCCAAGGCCTCAGCGACCCGTTGCCTTCCCAGGGAAGCGAATTCACGCCCCAGTTTCCCCCTCAGAGCCTGGATCTTCCTTCCATCACCATCTCAAGAAATCTCGTGGAACAGGACGGCGTGCTTCACGGCGGCGGGCTTCTCATGGTAGGGCACACACCATTGCTTCCCCGCGTTCCGCCGTCCGCCGCCTCGAGGTGTGGGCCGGACACTGGGCCTGGCCCGGGTTCTGGGCACTCCGCCCACAGATGTGTGGCGGGTTCTTCTGGTGTCACTTGAGAACAGGTGTGCCAGAAACCACTAACAGAATCTCGAAATATGATGCCCCCAGAGAGGGCAACGGGGACGGGAGAGGGGAGGGCAGAGCGGGTCCGGGCACGGGTGGGGCAGAGTGGATGGGTGTTTTGGTGGTGGACGTATGCGGGGCAGCGCCGCGGCTACGCAGCGTGGTAAACCAGCGTTACGTGAGTTGCAGAAGCAGGCAAACACGTGCAGGTGTTAGGGCAGACCCTGCGCCGGACTGCGGTGTCGGGTGGGCCTGCGGCCCGGTGACGGATTGTGGCCTGCGGCGTCCTTCCCATTGGAAGCCATATTGGAGGCGCCTGATTTATTGGTTTCCGAGTCATCTTCCCTTGCCTTTGGCTTCACAGAGGTGCACTTGACTTGAAAGTTTGCCCAGGAGAGATTTAGAAATGAAAACCCTTATCAGGGTGTAGGTCTCATGCATTTGTGTTGGATTATCACATAACGTTTAGGCTACGTGATTGGCATCTACCTCAAATGAAATATCAAACTGTGATACAGAGAAAGGGAAGGAGAAGAATTGCTCATAACCAGCAGAGGAAAATAGAGAGGGGGTGACTGTGTGAAAGATGCCTAATTGTGCTATTTATTGTCATCAACATCGAGTAGGACACTCCAGAGAGCCGAGATTACTAATGCAGTAATTTTGGTTCTGTGTGTTTTTCGTAGGATGCAGTCAGCAATCACCAGAGCAAATCTGCTTAAGTATTTTCAACTCTTCTGCTGGGATTGTTTTTTCCGCCATAGTATATAGTACATTTGTGTCTATCTAGGTGAGGTAGTCAGCAGACATTTAAAAACAAGATTAATAGTTTATAGAGCTTTTTTTTCCCCCAACCCTGATAAAATGAAACAGATGTGTTGGTATAACAGAAAACAAATCCTATTGCTTGTTTACATATTTCTCTGCACATTAGACCCAAGCTAGTGATGTTTATTGGTTTCATTGTTAATTCCCCAGATAACAGCAGATGATTGCAGAATATGTAGTGGATTAGTGGTACAAAGATTCAGCGTGCTCTCCGAAATCTAAGATTACCTTCCCAAATAGGATTGCAGCAGCTACACCGTTTTCCTTGCCTGTGATCTTTTGTGTTTGAGCTGAACATCAGGGTTTTTATTTTTTACTTTTTTTTTGTCAGAAAAGAATGCAGTGAATGGTCGGGAAATGGTCATTAAGTATTCATAAGTGTTCCTCGCCTTCGCAAATAATTGTTTCCTGTGGCCTGTCTTACATTTCTGTCCCTTTGACACTGGGATGGAGGGTTCTGTCCTCTCTTCCTCTACAGCCAAGCTTGCAGCCTTGCGCCTGGAAAATAATAAAATAAAAAGGATGTTTAGTCACCAAGGGAGTTTGCCAGGGTTCACCATTATTCATAGATGCTTGGCGAGGCTCATTGAAGTTGTGGAAATAGTTAAAAGGCCATATAATGCATGCTAAAATGTGTACTTTATTAAATTGGTAAATATTTATTAATAATATAAGAATCTGCCTTTAAATTAAACATCTGATGAATTACCTTGCCTTAAAGCTATAAAACTGTTATTGCTGCCATAAAAAAGTGTAAAGGAGGCATTTTGACTATGAAATTTCATTTCATGGTCAATTGAATTTACTATATTGGAAAGAACTAAAGATGGAATCATAAAATAATTATGATATTCACATACACTTAAAGAACAATGCTTTCACGGACCGGCGTTGGGAGAGAGGACTCAATTTTTAATGCTTTTTGTTGTTGTTGTTGGTAATGTATTGCTAATCACAAAAGCAGCAGAATGATTTCATTGATTTTTAGAAGTATGAGTACTTTAGCTAAGTGCGGCTGTCAACATGGCATTTACATGGGCCTCGTCACGTTTATTGGTGCCTTTCTAAAGTCCTGCTGAACCCAAGTGATATTTATTTTGGCTGGAAACAAGCTAATCTTGTTGAAAATTCGAGTCGAATTTCACCTTGAAGAAATGTCATGGGATTTTAAATCACAAATGTTGGAAAAAATAAAATGTACCAGGACAGAATTATGATGAATACAATGTGTCGTTGGCTTTGTTCTATGTACTACCTGACATGTTCACCTATAAACTTGAATTCAGAATTGCCAGAGGCATGGTTAAAAATAGGTTGTGTCAAGGTTCTTCTAGATCTCCCTCCGGGTTCCGCCGAGGCTGGCTACCTCATAATGCTTCACAGCAGCTCCTGGGAGATTTCCCTGAGGAAGGTCACCAGAAAAATAATAAATAATACTTTATACATCATGCATTCGGCTTCCCAGTGTGCAGTGGATATTTCCTCCCTTATGCAAGTGAGAAGTTTTATTATCCAAATGAATATGGCTGTCTGGTAGCAGGTGGTGTGAACTAAGGCTACCCCAGAAGGAAGCTCGCTACTTCATGTAGTGCTGGAGCAGCTTTCCTTCAGCATCTCCTTGGTTTGCTGTTAGAAAGAGTGACAGTTTGTCACATAACTGATTAGCTGCATTTTTTTGTTGGCAACAAGCACAACATGTTTATCTTCCTGAAATGTATGCCATTATCCTTAAAAAAAGAGACCAGGAACAAAAAGGGGGATTAAAATGAGTCCCACGATTAGCATTCACATTTCAAAATATGCAAATGACGTCTTCCCAGTCATACCCAACTGGTGAAAAATCTAGTGGCCCTGCCTTTTCGTGACTTCAAAGAACAACCTTGATTTGCTTGTTGTAGGAACATGGATTTTTAAACAGGATGTGGTTCGTTAGTCGAAATCAATCCTGTATTTTGGCTCAGAATTCCTCAGCTCCTAGCACTATTGTCAGTTCAGATGATCATCTGGAAATTATTTTAATCTACAAAAGATTGCAATTCTAAAAATCTACAATGTGTGCGCCAAAGGTTTTTTTTTTTTTTTTTTTAACACCTCTCTATAATCTGCCCGGCCTGCTGACTAGCATTGACATCAGCAGTACATCAATTTCAGAAAGTGGATTATTTTTACTAGACAGCTATTGTGACATATTGGGTCAGTCATAAATGAAAGATATTCATGCAAGCATGCAATACTTGTAATGAAGTCTCACTCTGACCTTCTGTATGATTGATTCTGTAATTTAGTTTTCTCAGGCAGTGCCTGAAATGAAATGAAATCATGTTGAACAAGTTTTGAATACCCACAGTGCACCAGGAGAAGAAAAATCTGCAGCCCTAGAGGCTTGAGAGAGAGCAGCTGAACGATTTATCTCTATGCTATTATAGCCTTTGCCAGCATTCAACATTTCTTTTTTTTTTTTCTTATTTGGCTTAAGTACTTAATTCTGCAGGTAGCTGTAAATGGGAAAATAAAATGCTGTTCAGATTTAAAATGACAGGACAGGAGTATGTGCAGGGGACTGATAAAATATCTTGAACAGAACTGACCTTTCATGTAGCTGAAAGTTACTGGGGGATTCATCCTCATAATTACCATATAGATTATTTTTATTTCTTTCCTGCAATGAAACATTTCAGAGAGCAGCAGTGCTGATTGAATGAAAATTGAACTTGTTAACATTCTTTTCAGCTTAGCCTGTTGTACATAACAGAAGGTTAGCTTTGATGAATTTCAAAATTCTCTTTGATAGCCAAGAAACAGACAGTAAAATAATTGTCTCTAGTCTGATATTTTGTATGCCCCTCCCCCCAAAAAAGTGAGTTTATAAAACACACTAATAATTCACATACTTTTTCTTCATACAATATATTTCAGGTTTACAGGCCTGGACGTTTTCTGTTTGATATCGCTTTGGATTTAATTGTGACGGTGCTTGTTTACAGAAAAAGCTATCCTGATGCCCTAGGACTGCCAGATATCGCAGTAGAAAATTGAAAAAGGTGGAAGTAGGGGAGGTGTGTTTGAGGGTGGTGGTCAGTGACTACTGTTACGGAAAGAGAAGAAGAGAGCGAACACATCCTGCAGGAGAGACGTGCACAAATGAAAATGATAAGCTTTGAAAATATTCACAAGGCTCTTAAGTCATAATCCAGACAGATCTCCCCGGTGATCAGAGAAATGGGAAGATATCAACCTACTAAATCTAAAATCACCAGCTTATTTTAGCAGTTTTTATTTTTCATTCAATCATTGGACTCTAATTTTGACGTTGAGTTATTTTTGATTTTACAAAATGACTTCATGCCATTTTTACACTTAAAAAGGCTTCCATTATGAGAAATAGCAGATTTTCAATTAATACATTGTTGCAGCAGCGTCACTTAATGTGCTAAGATAAACCAGTTATTTCATGGGTCATTAATGTGTTCAGTGTAGAGCGTTCTATTACAACAAGCCCTTATTATTGTTATGAACATGTTCTCTGCCACTGTCACTGGAGGCGCGGGGCTAAATTCCACAGCATGATCGTGACTTGGCCGTCAGGGGACGAGCGGTTTCTCATACAAATTGAGTGATTACTTTGGTATGTTTGCATTTGGTGAGGTTAGAGTCAAAGCCATTTTTATCGTAAGCAAATAGTGGAAAAGGTGTGACTGATAGGAGCTTCTAGAAAGCTCACTCTCAGTGGACTAGGACCTCTGTGTTCAAAGTCCAAATCATGAAATTGAAGCCATCTTAGCCAAATTCGCTGAGCACCTACTAAGTGCTGTTCATTCCTCCCAAGAGATACTGATGAGGCAGCTTATATATTTTTTTCCTTGATCACCATGGGTTTTCCCCAGCTAATGCAGAACTTCAAAGATGCTTTTTATCCAAAGTCAACTATAATTTAGCCGTTACTATACCTAGACATCTGTTGGCTTACAATACCCAGGCCAAAGACATTTTTATGAGCTCCGTTTCTTTGTGGAACAAATAGCCTTGTATCACA